TATTACTCTAATAAATCTAGTTAACGTATGTAAATAATAATCATTATACATTTTATTTATAGTAAAACATTTTAGTCAAATCATAAAATAAATAAATTTTTATTGTTTAAAAAATTTTTATTATTCAAATGACCAAATAACCAAATGACCTGATGATTTTTTTGGTCATTTGGTCATTTCAAGCCAAATAGCTGGTCATTTCTCAACACTGGTTCAATCACACTATCACTAGGTAAATCTACCTCATTATCACCATCAGGCGAAAAAAAGAAATTTCCACCTTCGTTTGATTCATCCATTCCACCAAGTCTTTTTACATATTCATCAACTTCATCATTGTAAGTAATATCAGAAGCTATAGATGATGATGAAAACGATCTTGTGAATGGAGGTGATCGCTGTTCAAACGTTGTATCATTTGCCATCATATTTGATGAAAGCGGTGAAAACCCTAATGGATTATTTTTAAGTTTAGGTGATGATGTCGATGACGCCGTTATAGAAGAAATATTATTTCCAATATGGATGTGATAAGCATCTTCAAAAGACAATGGCGTTATAGCTGTTGATTTAATGAAAAAGCAAAAAAATCTTGGATTTTTTTTTTTTTTTTTTTTTATATAATGTTTCAATAAAAATTTTAAATGCTCTCACATGTATCACTAGCAATCTGTTGTGTAAGACCATTATATAAACCATTTGATATACGAGGATCTTTAGATTTGGTGCTAAACGCAGAAAGGGTTGGACTAGACGGTGTAAAGTCAAGGGACGTTTTCATTGCTGTTGACAAGTTTACTAATGATTCATAAGCAAATATTCATATTAGTTACAATTATTAACACTACAAATAAATTGAATATTCACGTACCAGAAATGTCTCCAACTCCTTTGCCAATTGCCTTACCCGCGGGAACAAGAATCGCTTTATTAATTTTGCCACTATTACGATTATATTTTTTTTCATTAATCCACCCTTTAACACCAAATTCATCATTAACAAGTTCTACACTTTCCACAATGTCTCTACGTATTTCAATCTTTTTTGAACGAGGAACTTCTCCTTTATTTATAGCATCTTTATAGCCAGGTAGAAATGTCTGAAATGAAAATTGAGGTGTTGCCCACAATGGTGGAGGTAAGGAAATTTTTGAATTGGTATGCGTTGCAATTTCTGCATTAGCAAGCCATTTTTTTCCATCTCGTTTTATCGAAATTTCACTTTCAGTGCATTTCTTTGGAGCTTCAATGATATTCTTCACTTCAGTCCAAGAACTATTACGAATTAATTGCCACTCAGCAATATCTTCGTAATTTGTCACCATGTCTAAATTTGTTAATTCTTTCTTAACAGCACCAGCAATTCCCATCCCTATACCCACAACACCAGCGGCACCACCTACTAATGCTCTACCAACATTTGCGACTGTAGCCGCGCTTCCTGATAACTGAGTACCAGCAAGAGTAATTAAATTATTATTATTCGTTTCATCTTTTGTTCCTTGACCGGAAGTTTCTTCAACAACTGCTTTTTCCATCCATAGACGATGTAATGTTAATATACCAGAAGGATGAAAGCTCAACAAATCTTGATATCCAATATCATCTAATTTATTATCACGAGTTTCAACCCCAAGGTAATCAGAATGAGAGAAATTGTTTATAGTATTTTGAGACCATGATTGAGTTCTCCTACGACTTGTTCTTCCCATAGAAGTACCATTTGATGTAATTCCTTCGGTTACAACATTAGGAGATGATCTCCTTTTAGCTTGTCTTTTAGCATGTAAGTTTGCAACTAATAAACCATTATTTGCATTTAATTCTGATTTAGAATTATTAGACATAGAAGGTAAGAATTTAACACAGATTCCTTGAGATCTCCTCAAGTAATGAAATGCGGGATGTGATTGTCCATTATATTGTGAGTAAAAGTTATTATTCAAATTTCCTTGATAGTGTAATTGACTTTGACGACGCGACTGATCAATTGAAGTTGCATTAGCATCTGTAGACGATAACGGATAATGTTCATGGGGCCTATTAACATATATGTTTGAGCCCTGTGAGGTACCATTAACGTCTGATGAGTCTTGCGGAAGTGGTGTCCGAGGCTTAATACGAACCACAGGTGATTGCGTGGTTGATTTATACTATAATAAATTTAGTTAGATTAATTTCGTTACTTACTTGGTCACGTGGGGTATTTCGTATGTTACACCGGATCTCGTGACGAATCAGGACTTTATCACGTGATCAAGAGTTACTTTGAAAATTTTATAACATACCAATTTATCTACATTATTAACCCATCCTGTTATATGAGAAGGTACATGCGCAGGACCACCATAGGGATTTATCGCAAACACATGAATGGTCCCCCGTCCACTAGAGACTGCACACCATCTAGAATCACCACTCCAACCCACACCTCCATCACTAACACTAGCATTTGTATAACCTCTAGATAGTTGGTATACATGCTTTAAATTCTTGTTACTTTTACGTTGGCGATGTTTGCCGATAATTTCAATTACATGAAATTGATGACCTTGAACAGATGTTGAAAACAAAAAAGAACCCGAAGGATTGAATGATAGATATCCAACGGGATGAGTGTGTGGAGAAAAATGAGCAATAATACTAGGTTGTTTTTTTTGTACGCCACCAAGCGTACCCAAGTCACGTATAATAACCTATTTAATACATGACAAAAAATAAAAAATAAAAATAAATAAATCAAATGTTAAATTTTAAATAAGATAATTTTATAATATATATTAATATAGATATGATATTTACCGCTCCTACAGCACCATTTTCTTTATCATTCTCATAACTATTGATGTTACCGTTTAGACCTACCATGTTAGCACTTTCACCACTACCACTATTCACACCTCCGCCCTTTAAATTGTAATAATGTCCATTAGATGGACTGTCTTGTGGAGAGAACGAACCTCGTGAAGCTGGACTAATTGAACCTGTACGATTCTTAATATTTATAGGCATTGTAGTTTGTGAGTTCACAGGCACAGTAGTCTGTGAGTTTGTATTGGCAAAATACGAAGAAAAAGTCTGGTATCCATAATCGCCTTTATTCATATTTAGGTTAATATGATAAAAATTTATGAGAAATAAATGTATTAAAAAAACATATTCAAGGAATATGATATATATACCTAAAAGTTTTACACCATTAACGACTTCTTTTGCAACACCTTTAGCAACTTCATGATATTTTCCAGTTGTTCCAGCCGCACCATTACTTTCATCCATTGCGTAATCATCCATCTTGGCATCCATTTCCGGAGGATGACTCGTTGTTGAATAAGCCAACAATCGAGGTCCTAATGCGAACACCGGAGATCGAGTAGAAGGATGTATTGCAACATCTTGTAATGGTGAAAGAAACAATGGAGCCAGTGTTAAAGGTGAGAATATATGAAGTCTTGATGGATTGGTAAGAGACTATAGACGACAAATGGTAAGTTCAGTAAACGAGAAATAAAAAATTCAAAAAATACAAAATAAATTACATACCACAACAATAGCTCGTTCATTACAACTCACACCGACAATGTTACTATCATTATCAAAATCTAACGTTTTTACAATTTGATGGGTTTTTAATGAAAAGAATTTTAGCACACATTTCGGTTTAGTGAACATGTCTTGATGGCCATTTTCTCGTTGCGGAGTTGGTATACAACTATTAAAGTTAACATATAATAATTATTTAATTGTTATAACAACAAACAACTTAACCGATGAATTTTTTTTTAGTAATTGAGAGTCTTACACTATACAAATTAGTGGACGAACATCCGCAAATTTGTCATGAAGATTTTTAGACAAAATATGTGGATTACATATTGACTACATATATTTAAAAGTGGCCAATAATTAATAAAATTGAGGATAAGAAGAAAGATTTT